GCCAATGATGACATGCGTGTGCCAAGACTGCCTTGCAGTTTGCTGCAAGAGGCTGGCCGCATCAAGCAGAAGAGGGACGTACACGTGCTCGCCAGCATGGGGAGCTCTGGCGGCTCGGCAGTTGTGTAATGGCCAATGGAGGGATGGGGGGAGCTCGCTGGCTGCGGTGGCAACACGGCTGTGTTGGTGGGCACATGCGTCGGCGGCTCAGGCGACGGCGCCCGTATGGGCAATGCGGCAGGAGGAGTTGCGGTAACCAGTGCCAAAGGTCGGGCGGAGTGCGCAAATGGACAGCGCGAACAAACCCATCGCTCAGTCAACTTCCCAGATTAGGAGCGTGAGACAATGCGGGCAATGCGGGGGTGGCCTTGGCGGCCGCACGCTGTCGGCACAGAGTTCCTTTTGACAGCGCATGCAAATCCATTGGGCCTCCCACGAGGCAATCCCCCGATCGTGCCGGCGAGGCAAAGGGGCCCAATGCATGCGGGCATCCGGGAGCTCGACGAATCCCGTGGCAGGACCTGCCAGCACACTGCGCGGATGCGGTCAAGCTCGGGCGGTTCGAGCTGCATCGGCACGCGAAAAGGTTCTGGCAGAGTAATCGTGGATGACGGCATGCGTGGTAGGGCGCGCAGGCGCAGCTTCTGCATCCACATCGATGCCGAGAGCTGCATGGCGGGCTTGGACTGTTAGCTCGCGCAACAGGTGGTGTATCGCGGCGCGGCAGTTGGGGCACCTGCCGTGCAAGCGGGCGCAGCTCACCAGACAGGTGTAGGCATTGCAACACGGAAAAATTGCATCTTCAGGTTGTGGGCCAAGAGGCGGCTCCGTCAAGCAGACCGGGCACGCAGCCCGGGCGGGCAAAGCGAACTCCGGTGTTACCTCCCCATTGTCAGGCTGGCCGCCCTCCATGACAGTGGTAGGGGACGAGGAGGAAGAAGGCACATTAATGGGTGTGGCATCGGGTAACGTGTCTCCCCAATCCGGCGGCGTCGACATGGCGCAATGCTTGGGAAGGCTGCAGGGAGGGAGCACGCTAGAAGACGGAACACAGTAGAGCCAATGGATGGGGCGGATCCGGCCAGCGGGGCACGCAAAGCCCGGTCCGCCTGCGCCCTGCTCTGGCAGCGGGCCGCAAGCCTTCGCGGGAGAGGCAGCGGCCTGGCGCAAGCCTGCAGGGCGAGGGGTTCTGGCTTGGCGTGCCCGTGCAGCAGCGACGGCGCGCAGAGCTGCACGGACCGGGTTGCCAGGCACGCAGGGCAGAGGGCAAACGGCGGGTAACGAGGGGGCAGCGACTGAGCGCAAGCCGAAGAATAATGGGTGCAGGCGCAATGGCACTACCAGACTAGGGGCTCTTCGGCCTTTGTCGGGACTGCACCCTACCTCACCCTTGCCGGTCAGCCGGCGAAGCCCTTCGTAGTGTTTGGAGCCTGTTGGGACCCGGTCAAAGAAGTGAAGGCCCCAAGCCTGGCCACGACGGCTCCAAAAGTTCTACTTCAATGTGACCCAACTGTGTGTCTTCCTTGCGGAACGGTCCTTGGTGGAGAACCACGCCAAACTGGACGGCGCCGTCGCGTGCAGCGGCGGATGTTCCTCCTTGGACTTGGTGCAGGGCCTCGCCAATGCGGCAGCGAATACTTGTTTTCCCGGGCTTAGGCTTTGGGTTTTAATCGGCCTCCAGGACATTTGGATGTTAATGGTTTTCAGCTTTAACCGGGCGGGCGGTTTTACCGGTTTTGGGTTTAATTTGGCCGAGGTTTTCGAATGTAATTTTTTTTTCCCGCGAGGCATGTAGCTGTGCGTATGACGGAGTCGTCGTGCGGCCCATCCGGATGGGCGCGTCGCGCGCTCAGCGCAACGGGAGGCGGCTCGGGCCAGCTGGCTCAGCGAGCGCCAGCACGTGGTCCAAGCCAGGTTCGCAGGCAGGCGCTTTTGGAGACCAGCCACGGCGCTCCCAGGGCCGTGCTGCCAACGGCGTGCTGCACTGCAGTCGAAGGCATGCCCCACCACCTGCGTGTCCAGGCAGTGGAGGCAGCAGCTCGGAGGGCAAGTAGCGCCCGGAGAGCCCGGACCCGGACGAGCTGTCGGACAAGCGCATGCGAGTCGGCGTTCCACCGCCCTCCGACCTCAACAGCAAGGACGAAGAGGCGTTGGCCGCCGCCGCGCTGCAACTCCGGGTAGGTTGCGCGCTTGCGGCTCGCATGTAACCGGCTTTCGGGCTTTGCTCGGCCGGTTATCCAGGTTTAAGGATTGATTTGGCCGAAATGCTAAAATTTCACCGGCTTTGGAGTTTAATCGGCTGCCGAGGATTTAGTTTTAAATGTTCGCGGCGTTAACCGGGCCGCTTAATTTATCCGAGGCGCTTTACGTCTGCCGAAGCGAGCCCCAAAATCAACTGCAAAGTGCCAGCGTCTCGTAAACAAGTTTGTTATTTTATTGTGTCTTTCTTGTTGTGTTGTCACACGCGTTCTTGCGACTTCCAAAAAGTGTCCGCGTCACAGAGGCTCCTACAATGCATCTTGGAATTACGCCTTTTTTTATCCCTGTTTTGTCCAGCATTTCGAGTTTATCCCTGTCTTGTCCAGCATTTCGAGTATTTCCAAAATAGTAGTGAAAACATGTTTCTGTTCCTCGAGTTTTTCATTGTGTGTTTTCTTGATGTTTGTTGAAACAAACAAGGCAGACATTACATCCATTGCACATTGCATTTAAAGAGTCTTCCGCAACGATCTCTGGCAGCCGAGATGCAAAAAAAACCCAGAGGTCCGCCATGCAACTATGCAGAGGCATAGTTGGGTGCTTACGGCCTGTTAGTCAGTTGGGGTAGACGGTGGAAGCCTTGCAGTGGCTCGATACATTCTTTTTTTTTTGCCCCGGACCGAAGGCCGCGGTTGTAAGAGACCGGTTTCGTTTTCGGAATTTGCAAACGGCTGACCAACCCCGGTCGGGCAGATCAAAGTGTTGGGGTTGTTGGGATCGGAAGGGCCGCCTGTTGTGGTCTGAACGTGAAACATGCTAACACTGACATAGTCACATACATCGAGCACACGAACATGCAAATAACCAAACAAACGAAGATGTGAACATGTACATGTCAGGAACAAACGATTGTCTATTGCGGCGGCACTGCGGCTCACGTCACATCTCACATGCGGCAGCCTCTGGCACAAACCACGCCAAAAACACAATCCCTCGCAAAATGTCTCCAATTGTGTTCACTGCCGTGTTTGCGCAACAATACAAAGAGTGCAAACACAGGTTTATTCGTCCGCGAGTTGGTTGGCACCAGACACGACACAGGCATCAGCGTTCCGACCACGATGTCGGGCAGTCTGCGTTTGGCCCGCCGCGGTCCATCGCTGTCCGGACGCGAAGCTAGGCGACTCTGGCAGCGAAGGTGGGCGAATGTGCGTGCGGACGACAGATGGGGAGCGGTGAGCCTTTAAACGCACCACGCGGGTCTCGCACGAAGCGGCGGGCCTGGGCGGTCCACCGGCCTCTCACCTCGCAACCAAGCATGACATGCATGACGAGCGTCTGTGGCCCGCCTCTCGTGAGTCCGGTACTTGCAGCGCTCGGCCACTTGCAGCGCGGTGCCGTCAATCTTGTTGAGGCCTTCGAGGGTCGGCATACGTCTCCTTTTCCACGCCTCTGCTTCCAGCCCCTTTCCGACACGTCCAACGTCGGCGAACCCGCGCTGCTGCGGCCCAATCTTGGGTCTGCGCCGCAAGGCTTCACAGATATTGCGCAACTAACGGCGCAGATTATTCAACGAAAAAGAACTGATTTTTGAACCCAAATTCCCACTTGGGCGACCGAAGGAAGCAGCCGATTTGAAAACGAGACACTTGCGACCTCCGCACCCGTGACGCCTTCCGACCTCGCCGGCCGTGGAGGATTGCGCCGACGTTTGCAGATGTCTGCATCCGAATCCAGCGGCTCCGGCAGCCCGCGCCCGTGCTGCGCACGCACGGGGCCCCCCGCTCGACGTCCACGGTCCGTGAATTATACCGGCTTTGCTTACCCCGACATCCGCGCAAGTGGCGCCGAACGGTTGCTGCTGGGAGGATGTGGACCGCATCGAGCTCCAGGTCGATATGTGTAGCTGCGACAGCCGTTGCTGACCTTGCGTTCGTCCGCGCGGCCGACGTTGGTGAAGGAGTTGGCCACGGCATCGCTTTGGGGTGAGACGGCGCATCCGCTCGGCGTGTCCCGCGAGAACGACTACAACCGTATATGACCAACGAGCTGTGCGAGTCATCCCCTCAACGACCCCGGCATCCTAGCGCAGACGATGCAAATGGAGTGCTGCAAAAAGGCGTCGGGGCGCCGTGTGATATAGAACCGAACCCGTAAGCAAAGGCGAAGTGAAGCGAACCGCACGCACCATGTGCTCACCAGTGGAATGCTCGCGCCGGGCGATGCCTCCCTCATGTGGGCCATGCTCAGCGACAAAAACTGCCCGACCAGCTGCGCGTGCCCATACCGTAATCCAAACGCATGGATGCCGATGCAGCTGTCTCCTGTTCACCTGCCAGCGACACATTGTCTTTTGGAAGGTGCTCTTCAAGAGTGCACGCGGCTGTTGACTTGCTGTGGGCAATGCTTGGGGTCTTCTCTTTCGGCGACCAATTAACGCATTCAGAACGATTAAAACATTGTGTGGCACGACCGGTAAACTTTCTCGGTAAGTACAGATGGCAGTTCCGTGGCTCAGATGCCACGGCAGATCGTCGGGAAAAGGTACGATCTCGGAGCCGTGCTGGTCGCGATCGCACGCCAAGTGCTGCGTTCATACTTCGATGGGACGGGAGGGCTATCACGTCGTGCGACGACTGGGGTTTCACCATCGACGTCGCACTATGCCGCGTAGCATATCCGCGTGCACGGGCAACACAAGCGTGACGTCACAGCACTGTGCGCAAATGACTCCAGCAATTCAACAGCACATGACATCTGCTACAACCACGATTTGTAAACAACTAGATTTGCCAGGACGCATTTTCACCCTCGTCCAACGCAGCCACCTGGCACCAAATGCAACATCCGTGAAACACAACCCTGTGCTGCAATGTTTTGAAAGTGCCTGCCTCGCAAGCTTCTTTGATTTTGCTTGCCGCAGTTTTTGGATCTGTTGGCGGTGTCCTCCATTGGTCGTGCCAAGCTCACGCCCTTTTCACAATCCTTATCACTGTCAAGACTGTCAATCACAACGAAACTGTCGCGCCTGACTTCACAACATTGATTCGAGGTCTGTGTCGGACGCACGCTCCTGGAGTGCATTACCCGGTAGCATTGCAAGTGACAACAGATCAACACCAGATTGCAGTCCAGTCACTGAACAAACTGTTGTATTGAACTCAGCAGCACCAAGATGTAAATGGATCGCATGTGCAGATGTGCTCCCCATGAACTACAACCAGTGAACCGTCTGCTGTGTGCACAACACATGTCGGAATGGTTGTTGCTGCCGTGCTGCATGTATCATGGCACTTTGCAAACGGGCCTACTTTGCGAAATGCTGCAGCCACCGGACACAAAAAAAAGTGCAAGCAAACAGTACGCGTGATCGAACAGCTAACATGGCGAACTCAAGAAACCTTTCATTTTGATGCAAAATGCAAACTACTTGAGATAATACAGTGGCCTACGACATGATTTCCATTATGCTGTGTTGCATGTGTTATTCTAATAGAATCGGTAAGGTCTAGTATGGCTTCGTGTAGTATGTAATGTACTATAGAAAAGCTTGTAGTATAGAAAAGTTTCAAACCATGTTTCGTTACACCATGTTATTTTGCAAAAATCTCTTGTACACCACTGTGCTACACTACATACTTTCTGTGTCCTGTCAACAAAACAACGAACCATACTATGATACTAAAATCTGATGTCGACTTGCTATGGACCATGCTGCAAACTATGTTGCAGAAAAACTACAAACATGGAAGCAAGAAGATCTGGAAATCTAAAAGTCGGAACTTGAAAAAAAAATCACAAAGAAACAACTTCTTGTTCAACATGGTTTCGACAATCAAAGCAGCTTTCCCATCCAGTGTCAATCCAAGTGAACATGTCAATCCAGTTCAAGCTGGAAACAATCTAAATTGCACCTGGGACTTCTTGCATGCAAAGACATCTCTCAACAACGCCTCCAGTTGGACTGGATCATAATGTTAGATCGAGCCCCTCTCCATCACCTTTTACACCATAAATTCTTTGCAATTGCCAAGATCGCCACTATTGGCAAAAGGTCGTACACAAGTTTCAGGGCCATGGACGCTAATTTGCTAATTTAAGCCATCTGCAAGTGAATTAGGAAAAGTCGATGCTGATGGACTTGCTTGGAGAGCGTTGCATTCGAAAAAAATCCTCTGTTTGCATCATGTCGCAATTGCGCGTAAGTCAGAGCACCTAGAAACCCAAATACGATGGCAGTAGCACTGTGGCCTCTTGTCCGCAGCAACGATTTCGAGCTGTTTTCAACTCCCGAAAACTGGCTCTGCATTTGGGCGGTTATTGCCACCTTAAGCCGATCACATCTCAGTCTTTTTCGAAATTGTTGGCAAGTTGTCCTCTACTTCCAACCGTGACTCAAAAAGTTCGAAGATGAACAAAAGACAGAAATTGGTTTTCAAGCACCGAATTCAATCTTTCGTAACAGAATCTGAGGATGAAGCCACACATCTGCACACAATATCCGAGCTTTTCAAACATTTAAGAGCCTGTGCATTGAAGCCATTTTCTTTCTTCTTGCTTTTTCAACTCCAGTTTCCCAAACCTGGACCAGCAGGCTCTGTTCGGCAGACTTCCATCCCCAAACCGGTATTTGGCGATTCTTTTACATCCAGCTTCTATTTCCAAATCCGAAGCACAACGACTTAACAAGCGGAATAACTCCAACGAATCCTTACGTGTCTGCCACACAGTTCGTCCTTAATGCATACAGTGCACAATATTGAAAACAAAAAAAATCAAATCTGAAAGCCAAATGTTTCCACGGTCAAAGAAAACCCGAAACTTGTTTTTCAACTGTTTACACATTGCGGTCGACACTCTTCCAACGCTTACAAATCAACAAACATCAAGACTTAGACGCGTCTTTTCGCAACATGTAAGCTTGGAACCGTTGCGAAAGAAAAGATGGCTGATGGAAGAAGCAACACTCGGACTTTTCTGGAGCACGGATTGGATTGGAGGTCTCTTTAAAGTTCTCGACAAAGATTGAATTTCAAAACAAGGCAAGGCTAGCTCCTTAAGCCCCCTTCAAGCCCCCTTGAAGCCCTTCAAGCCCCCTTCAAGCCCCCCTTGAAGCCCCCCTTGAAGCCCCCCTTAAGCCCCCCCCCTGAAGCCTCCCTTAAGCTCCCCTTGAAGCCCCCCTTCAAGCCCTTCGACCCCCCCCCCTCCCTTCCCCCCCCCTTAACACCCCCTTAAAAGGGTGACCCTTAAGCCCCCCCTTGAAGC